CCTGCAAGCCGGTAGCTCTATGCCGGGGTTTTGCAACCTCAGAAAGTTGTGTGGACTTCAACCCCAAGAATTCTCTAGCCAGCATGGCTGGCTGGGGAATTCTGGGAGTTGAAGTCCACACATCTTAAAGTTCCTGAGATTGCAAAACTCTGTTCCATGCAGTGAATGAATCCAGCCAGGCTGTTCAGTTTATGGCTCAGAATGTTATATTAAAAAAAAGTACCAGGGAACTGAGTTAATGAAACCATTATTCAGTTAGCCGTGGGCAGCATTTTGTGTGGACACAGCCAGTAAGTTGTAGCATGTTTGGCTACCTCACCACATGAAGCCTTTGTTTGCTGTGCTGTGTGAACCCAGCCAGGGAATTCTATCAACTTGTCAAGATCTCTGCCTTGGTTTTTCCATCTGTGAAATGCCTGTAATGGGTGTGAGAGAGAGGTTGTACATGCCTAGCTTCTTGTTTTATAGAGATGTAATTTGAAAAGGGTGTGTGTGTGTACAGATTCTATCTTTTGATAGCATTAGGATGTAGTAACATATTTTTTGCTGAGCAGTTAATAAGGATGGGGAGGCTGTGGGGTAGAGAGGAAAAGCTATGGAGCATATTCTTACCTTCCTCCGTGCTTAGGTTCTGAAGAGGACTATGATATGGGGCTTAATTTTTGTAAAATAGTTTGTGTCCATCTGTACTTGATCCAGAACTATCACAGATAGCATTGCTTGCATTTCAAGACCATTTGGCCCCACTTCTCTATGTACCGTATATTTATTTTACACATCTGTTAGAAAGCTCACAATGTGCTCCCCGACTTGCTTTTGCAGTCTGGACTAACAGGGTTATCCATTGAGAATTTGATTCCAGCTCACTAATTAGCCATTTCACTTGGACTCTGGTTTGGCTATTCAGCCCAGGAGTTGTAAGTTGGGAACTGTTGTAATGGTATGTGGGTATGACCTTGGGAGACAGGAAAGAGCCACAGCCACGGAACAAGAGGCAGCTTAGCCTGCAAAATGAATGTGGGCGTGGCAAACATCTCAGAAGGGACGCTCCCTAGTTTCTTGGGCTGTAAAGGGGACGGGGGAGAAATGTACTTTCAGACTTGCAAGATTGATGTCAGCCTAGTGAGGTAGTCCCGACAGGAAGCACGACCAGATGGACTAATTTTATTTTATCGCAAGGTTACGTTAACAGAATCTTACAAGTCTGAAAGTATATCTCTCTCCCCCTCGCCTTTACAGCCCAAGAAACTAGGGAAGGTCCCTTCTGAGCTGCTTACCCGACCCACATTCCTTTTGTGGGCTAAGCTGCCTCTTCTCCGACTGACGTTCCCCTGGCTGTGGCTCTTCCCCCTTGTCTCCCAAGGTCATTCCCACAACCGTTACAACTGTGAAGTGTTGAAATATGTAGGTGACAGAACTTGTTCTTGTAATCTGGTTGCAAGCCTGTATATCATCTGCAGTTACTGTAAGCACCATCCATAACCTGCAGTGTAGAAATCCTTTTTCCTCCTTTCCACACATGTTGCCAAAGAAGAAATCCCATTTAATTTCTTTACCTGTTGCCCACATTTTCATGTAAGAGGAAGCATAAATAGGCTTCTATGTTGAGAATGTGAAATAATGGCTGTTGTGTCTTCAGCAACTTTGCAGACGTATCAGCCGTGCTTCTTTTCAAACCGAGCATCTAGGATCTATGCGAGCAACTAGTGGCCTTTTAGGGCGTGCACCCCTTCAGCCTTGCCTTGCCTTGCCCGCTGCATCAAGAACCAGAAGCCAAGCTCAGTTTGTAGCTGGGTTGCTGCAACAGACTGCTGCCCTGTAATGTAGGAGCAGCCATTTTGTTGGTAAGAATCAGAATTGCTGGGGAGAAAGGGGGACAGGTGCTGATCTTACTGTCTGTTCTGTAATCCTTGCTTGGAACAAGGTCTGTGTAAGTAAACGTGTGATGTCCTGGCCATATCTACTTGGGTTGCTCTCAGGTTTCGGTGGGGGGGAGGTTGCCCCCGCTCCAAAATAGTTGTATATTATATCATGGGTGCTCACAGAAGATCAGTCTATAATGGCCGTAAAAGTAAAAG